ATGTGAAAAGATATATTTCAGTTTTGCAACATAAGTATCTGAGCAGTTGTTGCAAGCATGCATGTCATTTTGTCAGTGGAATTAAAAATGGGTCACATTATGACTGGTGATAAAATATTTCCAGCAGTCTACAGGCGCGGATCCAGGATTTGGAGTTAGGGGGGGCGCCAAAATTAGGCAAGGGGTCTGGGGGCTGCCTTGAGGCCCCAAGTGGGTCCAGGGCAAAGCCCTGGTGGGGGCCCAGGTGGGCAAAGCCCCAATAAGCTCCTGGATTCTAGAGATTTTGAAGGGTTAAATATGAGGTCTACCAAAGCCCTGGTGGGGGCCCAGGGGGCGAAGCCCCCGGAAGCTCCTGGATTCTAGAGATTTTGAAGGGTGAAAATGAGGTCTACCAAGTAGACATATTTGATTTACGCTAACTTTAACAATTTTAGGGGGGGCGCGCGCCGGGTGCGCCCCCCCTTAAATCCGCCACTGGTCTATATGATAAAACCAAAATGATATCTTGATTGCATCTCCATATTCCATGGCAGGCATGACCATCAATTCATGCCATCATTGCAGATGCAAGACCACTCAGCCTAGCATAGGTATGCTGGTGAAGATGAACGTTCTGATGTTGACACGTTTAATGATAAAATAGAAATTAAGTCCCTGTTAATCATTAGAGCTGGGTCATTCATTGAGATACTTTTGTGACTGGGTGTTCTGATTTGAACATATTAGGACAACCAAGAAGTCATATTTGAGAAAGGAAGTTGGAGTAAACACACAGTGTTTGTTTTCAGATGCCTTGCGGTCTTTAGTTGACATAAAACCTTAAATTGAAGTCAATGTTGAAGGAAATAGCTTTTCACTAGAAATGTGTTTGAAGTCTGGCCTAAGGTTGTTAGTTAAAACACAATGGGTCACAGGTAGAAGAATTGAGGAAACTTTTAATGTTTTTGATCATTTTAAAGTTAGGGCATTATTGAGGATGTTTAATCATTTTTCATTAGAGCATAATTATTGGGGACATTTTATCATGTTTCAACAATTTCATTCATAAAACTGATTTTTAATGGTCTAAATTCACTTTTTTTTGGGGGGGGGGTGTTTGTTTGTTGTTTAACATCCCACTCAAGAATTTTTCACTCATATGGAGAGGACACCACCTTTACTTGGCACTCAGGGCCATTGAGGCTTTTTTTGCCAGCATCTACTGCAATAGGGGACCTTGGTGTGTACATATGGTCTTAGCTGAAGGACCAGACTCCACGTCCCACATATAGATTTGAACCTGCAACATAAGGATCAACTTTTTATTCTGTAGATGCTCTACCACTTTGCCATGCAGGCGACATGGTGTGTAAACTGCCATCTTTTACATGTACATTATTAGTTATGTAGACACTAATACATACATTTTTTCAAGGACCCCACATATTTCCGTATTACCCCTCTAAGTGTCTACATAATGAATTTATCCTGTCGAAGATTTATTAATGAAGTTTACACTTTTCCTGAGATAGCAAACCATTCTGTTACAATTGTTTACATTGTGATGTCGTTTAATGTTTATGTGACGTCAGCTATTGAGCGTGTTCAACTGAAAACAACATACATGTATTGACTATGATCTGTGCAGTATGGCATGTGGAGGGGGCATTTTGATTTGATGTGTGGTGGGTAGGTCATGTGGAGGGGGCACATTAGCAATCTTGTAGGTGGAACAACAAACCTAATTTGGGGATCGTGTGATGAAATTATAGGGGTTATTCACTTGCATAAAGGCAGATTTTACATGACAGTATATATGACTGTAAGAAACCAAAATCCTTTAGGATGAAAAATCTCAGAAGTGGTTGCCATCTTTCTTTACCTTCTATTTTTGTTCAGTGAAATATATAATGCAGGAGAATGATTTATTTACAAAAAACGTTGTCTGTTTAATTATCTGCACAGGAGGTTTTACTCAAAATCTTGTCGGGTCTTATGGAATGTTCTTAAATCTGAGAGGAAGTGATACCTCTAAGTAATTATGATGGATGCCATGGGGTGTCTTCAGTAGAGGAGGCCAGATGGAAGTCAGGAGCTGGGCTAAGTGTTATAGAGGGGGAAAAGTTTACGGAAGAGGGGGGTTCTGATATATACATATATACTGTGGCAGGGAGGGGTGAAGAAAAGAACTTTGATGTTAATTATTCTCCAGGTTTTATGGCAGAGAAATTTTACCAGCTGTTTGTGTGTGAATGTTTATCAGAGAGAAAGAGAGAAACTTAGATAGAAAGAAAGAAATAGAGAGAGACTCAGAAAGAAAGAAAGAAATGGAGAAAGAGAGAGAGTAGCTTGCAGTAGCTGGATCAGAAGTAATTCCTTTATCAAGTATCACAGAAGGGTTTTTTTAATTGTGGGGAGGAAGCCAATTGAGGTCTTTTAAGAGTTGATATCTTTTTACTTGACCTTGGTGATCCTGCTTTAAAATTGAATTAGTTTGAGAAGAGTTTTCTACACACATGCCTCTTGTCTCTGGTTCTAATTCAGACATGGTTGAGCGATGTTACAGGGCTGATGGCTATGTAGACAAGGTTTTGTAATTCAGATGCTGTTGGGTGTATGATCTGTTGCTTTAAACAAATTGAATGTATTTTAAAAGTTCAAGAAAGCAGTGTAACATCTTATTTTTGCCCAGAAAAAAAATAGGAAAGGGAGAGAAGCAAATGGATTAGAAAAGTAGGATGAAACTTAAAATTAATTTTTGATGTGTTGAATTGAATGAAATCAAAAAGTTTGTTAAAAGCAAGAAATAAAAAAAAGAATACGAAAGGGAGAGAAACAGATGGCTTAGAAAAGGGGGGGGGTGAAACCTAAAATGGCTTAAAGAAAATGGGAAAAATGAATCATAAAATTAAATTTTTGATACAGTAGTTTTTGTGTGTCATTGTCCTATGGAATTTCATTAAGACTGGGACATTATTGTCATTAGTAACACTATGAGTTAGTTATAGTCACGTGTCTGTCACAATATTTCCCGTACACAGTCACTGTCAGACCAAAGCTTGTGATTTGTGTCAGTGTTTGTTAGGTGGTTTGCGGTTATGACAAAGTGTGTCGGTCTGTTTTTGTTCATTAAGTAGTTATAACAGCTTGTAGACACGGTATCATTATTTTAGCACATAAATTGCAGACATAATGAAGCAATGTCTGTGATTACTATGAAAAAAAAATCACTACTGGTTGCAGAATTTCCAGTTAAAATCACACCATGAAGTTATAGAAATAGACGGCCATTTCTATTAAGATAAAAAGCTAATGGCTTTTGTAGGTATACTGTGTGAATATTACGTACATGTAACAGAGCAATATGAATCACCCAAAAGGTCTGACTTTCGTAATAGACTTGCAGACCTCTTTGATGGATTTTTGAGCAAAAATACAATTATTCAATGCAAATACATGGACATAATGGATGCTTCACAAATCTCAGGATTGCTTCTGTATGCTTGGAAATAGAATTAAACTCTTCTTTAAAAACTTGATCTATATTGAAATAAATAAATTAAGGCTAAAAAAATGGTCTTCTTAATTAAAGTGATGTCAAAGAAATTCATTATTTATTTAATAGACATCATGTACAATCACTTAAAATCAAGTCAGCACACAAAGGGTTGATATATGTAGATGACGGTTTTTAACTGTCAAGATTGAGAAAATGTGTTTTACAAATGCCAAGGACTGAAATCTGGGCTAAGTGAAATCCCAGGTGTTTTCTATTGTTTCTACCTATCAGTTTAAGTACAGTGTAATTTTGAAAAAAAAAAATCAGTTTTGAAGTGACTGTCGGACTGATCTTTATTCATGCTAAGGGTTTCATTGAGTCACTCAATTTATTTTGCAATGTAACTTCACTGATCACGTTAAGTTTAGTAACTGTTGACGAGGAGATTGACTTCTAAAATCTTAAAAGCTTTTGAATCAAAAGAATTATTATAGATTTAAAATTGTTATGTTATGATACTTCACATATTAATTATGTATGCATGATCAGATCTTCTTTTTTTAACTCTGAAAACATGTAATGATGAAATTATATAATGAACAGATTAGATTTTGAAGCTTGAATTTTTTCAGTACTCTTGACTTTGTTAGTCTCTTACAACCCCTATGAATTTTGACTGCAATAGTTTTTTTTTTTAAAGCAGTTGTCCCCCTTAGCCTAGACATTTATTATTTAGAATGATGTCCCTTGATTTTTCGGTAAACCTGTTACAATTAATGAGCAGATGTCACGGTATATATTTTTTATGCCTGGAGGGCACACCGATTAAAGCAGGGAGAAAGTTTTTTTTTTAAAATCTCGCAAGAATTTGTACCTGTGGAGAATTTTTGTATGTGGAGGGAATTGAATTTCCTTTTTAGGAAGAAAATTAAAGCAAATTCTTCAGGCTGGGATAAGTAATAACATTGTGTAGGTGCTAGATTCCTGTGGTTTTTCACTGCTTTTTTTGAACATCAAATTTTTGTGAGGACTTTTACGCATACAAACGTTTAATTGGCCATGTTGATGTACCATAGAAAAGGACAAAAAAAGACATCTTTCAATTGTTTACTTGTATATTGATTAATTTGTACTGAGTGATATAGATCTGACACGTCTATGATCAAGCTGGATTTCGGAGATTTCATCTCGCAATATAAATTCATGTGTCACCTTTTCTATTGTGGAATATGTGTGTGATTGAAGATTTGCTAAGTGCAGGTACCATGTCAAATTAAATGTTGTTTTTGAATATCCTGAATATTTCATGGGAGTTGAAGCGTTGGAGAGGTGTATCAATTTCAGGTCGCTTGCCCATTCTTAAACGGGAATATTTATTTTACAGCTACTTCTGAATTATTTGGATACACAAGGTATAAAAGTTGCAGGAGTTTTATTGCTCCATTTATAAACGGGGACTTGTAAATTGTGTAGAATTTTTTTTTTACATAAAGTGTTAAAACAATACCTGAGCTGTATTTGTTTACCTATTAAGACGAGCCCTGGAAATTTAAATTTTATCTCATTAGGTATCAGCAGGTCAGAAAAGATAAGGACAGGTATACTTGTTCTGTCTCCGAGACCAAACCGATAAACGGTTTTTACCTCCAAGATAGGCTGGCACAGAGTCTATATATACTCAAACAGGAGAAAGCAAACTGTAAATTGGACTGTGCAAACCTACCGAATAACTGTTGACATTTCATTTATTTCTTAATTCAGAAGGTACAAGGTGACACAGTGTTCAATGTTTTTATACCAGCTAGTATGTTAATTCTGGGATGTAGTTCTTAGAAAAACAGTGGCATAATCCTGTGTTGACATTTTTTGTTATTTCTTGGGGATTAAATGTGAAGAATATTCGCAGTGACCATGATTCAAGCAGGGAACCTGAATATTGTCCAAATCGGTGGAGGACGAGTCAAGGGCAAGGTCGTTCGAGGTCGATCTAAGGTACAATATAAATTATAATAATTATTGTAAGCATTTGTCTCTCTCTGAAATATCACTGAATAATGAAACGATCAGTTCAATATTTAACACTTTGGTAGGCATTGCCCATTATCAAACTACAAATCTCATTTTGACAGATTGTATAAGATTTTTTTTTAGCAAATCAATGGTACACTTTAATGATGTCTCATTAAAAATTTACATTGGGAAATTTGAATATGGAGTTTGATACTGATAAATTAATGCCTGACTCTACTCTCAAACTTGTGATTTTTTAAGTAGCCCATTACAAAGCATTACAAATTTCCCCTTTGATATTTATAACTGCTCTTTTAAATTGATGGAGAGCTAGCTTTCCCAGAAGTCCTGTGAGATGCACAAAAATGTTCGGCATATTTTACAATGTGACTATGTCAAGTCCTCTTGAGCTGAATTATATACATAAATCTTGGTAAATAACAGTGACAATTTTAAAAGGGAAGTCCTACTAATCCAAATTTTATTGTACCTCACTGATAAAAGACTAGAGGCTCTTCCTGAACAAAAGGAAAAATTACATAAAAAAATCGGAATTCCTACTTCCTTTCTTCCCGAGAAGGGCAATTTATACAAGTTAAATTGTCGCGAATGTGGCGATTAAAATAATGCTATTTCCTGCTGTGAAATTTTTATGAGATATGTGAAATTTTTATGACAATATTGATAGAATAATCATTTTGCAAATTTTTTATTCAACTTTTAAATTTTTTTTCTCAGGAACTCTTTTAAAATATTTAAAACCTTTAACTAAATTTGTACAGAATTTGTGCCTGTAGGCATTTAAAACCAAAATTTGAGGACATCTTTTCTTTCTCGGATTTTGAGACAACGTATCAAAGAAAGGCTTAGCGGTGTTAAAACGGATAAAATTATTGATTACCACAATCAGGAGGACGTTATTTTAAAGAGGCCAGATAGTTTTTTTTTCCTTCAGAAGAATCAATATCGAGTACAGATTGTTAATAAACCTGCGCGAGTGCGAACCAAAGAACTTTTTTTTTTTCATTCGATCATCGCCACAGATTTTCAGCTAACACTTAGATAACAGGACAGATAAATTATTGAACAGGATTTATTTCCATGGATTTTGATGCATGTTTTGAAGAAGGGAAAAAAATTGTGCATTAAGTATTAAAAAAAACATAAAGGTCTCGTTGATCAAAATTATGTATTGAGGTGACACAATACATAAATCATGCAACAATGACTCACCTAGATGGTAACAAATCTTAAGTAGCTTTTGATAACCTAAGTTCTTTAATTGAATAGTGTGGTTTTAATTATTACATTGATCAATTAATGTAATGGATGAATTCTCAGGCTAAAACTATCTTATCCATTAATTTTCCAATATTATCCCGAGAGCTTCATAAAAATTAATGCATATTATAATTGTTGAAGTATATAATCCATAAATTCTTCTGCCAGGAACTTAATGCCTTTAACTATTTTCTGATGAGAATATTGGTTCAAACAACCTATGTTTATCCTTCCAAGATTTACGAAATACTGTATTGCTATGATAGCACTAACCACTCAATACCCAGTGATTGCACTAAACTTTGGATTAGATATGTACATGTACAGTATACTGGCTCCCGTTTCTTCTAAATCTTCCCACACTCTGGGGGAGAGACAACTCACCTGTAATCTATTTTTATCCCTCCATCTGATCCCTTTACCTGTGACCCCCCTAATTTTCCCTGATTGAGGGCTGTTTGATTGGGTTGTTGATGTGACTCTTTATCTGTGGGATCGGGTGCTGCACTGCTTGTTTTAGATAACTTCTGATGACTCCTTCCTCCTGATGGAATAACATGATAGACACAGATAGCTGGGGGATTAAGTGGCTGATACAGGCACCAGGAGAGGGGGGCTTATCTGAAGAAAACAGTAGACTAGTGTTTGTAATGAAGATTTAATCTGGTCAAAGTCTGTCCTCCAAACTGACTGCAGGAGGCATCCATATAGATTCCTCTGGTATTTGTGACAGAGCTGGTCAAAGTCTGTCCCTAACAGACTGCAGGAGGCATCCATATAGATTCCTCTGGTATTTGTGACAGAGCTGGTCAAAGTCTGTCCCTAACAGACTGCAGGAGGCATCCATATAGATTCCTCTGGTATTTGTGACAGAGCTGGTCAAAGTCTGTCCCTAACAGACTGCAGGAGGCATCCATATAGATTCCTACAGTTAGTCAAAGTCTGTCCCTAACAGACTGCAGGAGGCATCCATATAGATTCCTACAGTTAGTCAAAGTCTGTCCCCCCAAACTGACTGCAGGAGGCATTCATATAGATTCCTCTCATATTTGTGATAGAGCTGCTCAAAATCTGTCCCCCAAATTATACTAGGTGGCATCTATAAAGGCCCCTGTACTGTTTAAGAGACAGAACTGATCAAAGTAACCCCCAACATGCAGGAACCAATATATTGCATGTAATCTGTAGTAAAGTGTTTATGATTTTAGTGTTATCTGTGGGTACTTGATTGCAATATGAGGAACAAATGGTTGACAACAGATATTGTTAATAAGACAAATATTTTTTTCAGGAGCAAATTAATACAATGCTGTCATTCTTTCTTTCTCTTTTTGGCTGAGGTCATGCTAATGGTTACTGAATTTTACTGCAAAATGTTATGAAAGGTGTTGGGCAAAACAGACAGAGTTTGATAAAGTTTGCTTTGGCCTCTTTAATCAAAAGTGAAACTTCATGTGTTCAACATACAAATTCCTCAAACTTGTTAATTAGCTTGTGTGATAAACCTTGTGGAAGTATATGATTAAATGCAGTGAATGAAATGATGAACTGATGTAAACAAAGCATAAGTGCTGTGATAAGTTGGTGATTATTACTGGGACGTGAAGTGTAGATAAGGACTGTTTCCTATGAATGATGGATCAGTGTTTGTCAGGTTTTAAATTCTCTCTTCTATTTCCTGCTGTGTGACAATTAGATCAGAGGACATGATGTTTTACACAGTGTTATATGATTGTTACATGGTGTTTAGGTGTGCTTTATAGTCCACTTTACACAAAACCGACCACTATTTTACAGAAAAATGACCCCAGCTCCACAAAATATTGACCATGTGTGCATGATGACACAGGTGTTATATGATTGTTACACAGGGTACGGTGGACATTATGGTCTTCCTTCTAGGATGCATTATGATTCGCTCAACACAAAACTGGCTCTTCTATGGACAGAAAACTGTTAAGCCCGGTTTACACGCTCTGCTTTTGCAGCTGCTTTGAAGCAGAGCTGCAAAAGCAGAGCGTGTAAACAAGGGTTTTGCACTGCAGGCATGCAAGCAGACAGAATATGAACTTGCTTACACAAAGCAGGTTAACTGACCATTCTGTGCAATATGGCTAAAAAGTGAGAGCAGGCAAGGTAAGCAGTTGGTGTAAACTCTCTGTCTGCTTTGCAGAGTAAAATGCAGACCAAAAATGCAGCTGCTAAAGCAGAGCGTGTAAACTGGGCTTTACATAGCTGTTCTACAAGATACTGACCATGCATGCATGATGAAAAAAACCCACAGGTGCTATATGATTGTTACACAGGGTTAGGTGTGCATTATAGGCAGTTTCTACACAAACTTGACCAGTCTTTTACTTATAACTCTTTCCTGGTTCTACAAGATGACTGATGCATGCATGACAACGCAGGTGATGGACATGCATGTCTGGTCTGTCCATCAGGAAGTCATCAATACACATATAACTGAATTACCTGATAATGTATGCCAGCATAGGATTATTGATGTTTTGTGTTATCTAACACATTGATAAATCAAAATTATTACTCTGCATTTATAATGCTGGGAACTGTTCAACATACTGCTTCTTTCACTTACTGAGTACACGATGTTCTCAAAATTAAGCCAAAAAATACACACACAAGATTTGATGTCAGAGCTTTATAATTAATTTCAAAACCTAGAGTGTGGAAAAAATATATAAACGCAGTTCAAATTCAAATGAGATTGATTTTGGGCTCACTAACAGCAATAACTAAGAACACATTTTATCATGTCAGATAAAATCAAGATTTGAGGTAGGAAAAAAAATAAAACTGGGTTTAAATTTTAATGGGATTGATCTTCGACTCTCTTATACAGATGTAACTATATATATAAGGTTCTATATATGTTGTACTAATTGTTGTTTATGATCTTTATAAGTCTTGACTGATCAACAGGCTGGTATAGAGGAAGGAAGTACTTTATAAAGGGTAGGAATGGTTACTCTGTAGTACTTATATAGTCAATATAAAGTCTCCCTTGTGATTATAAGATATACTAAGCTTCTAGAGCAGACAGGTGCTTGTTTAGTTCAGTGGATTATAATTAACTTACACAAGGATTGAAGTGGATTAACTAACTGTTCTGACCACAGGAAATCTATAGATGTTACAAGGTATGTGACATGGTCAAGAGGTTGTTATGCTAAAGTAGGCTGAAACACAGGGTAACACTGTCTAAATAGAATCTGAAAAATTTATTTGTGTAAAAGGAATCTGAAAAATTTCTTTGTGTCCAGTTAAAATTTTAAGGTTACAGGTCACCAATGTACCTAATTTTTACCTTGCTGACATGAACTATTTAACATAGGGGTTATTGTCTTAGCAATACAGTGTTCATGTTAAAAGATGGAGAAAGAATTAAGTCATTTAATAGCAATAAGAACACAGCAAGTCTGTATGTAGCATTTTGAAATAATATAATACATACCTGGGGTACATTGAAACATTTAGGCCACTAATATGATCAGTTGAAATCTGACAAAAAGCTTTTCATTTACTGATTTCAGCTGAAGTCTTCAAGGAAAGTCTCCAGTAGCTTGCTGAATATAAAAATTTAGTATACGATTATCATATTTCAATATGTTGCCAGGTTTACTTGAGATCCTTCCATACAGTCATAGATTTCACATAAGTCTGGGGAGGAAAGGAGAGCC